CGTCTGCAGCGACCGCCATTTGTTTCCAGCCAACCAACGCACAAACAGCGACTAAAGGCTGTGATCCACGCAGTTAGGAGCTGCCGGGTTAATGAGCCAGATCCTTTTAATAACCGTCTGCTTGTTATGTGAACGTGTTATACGAGCGCACGTGGATCCCTTCATCTCCCATCTCTTCACTCCTCTGCAGTCAGTTTCAGCTCTGAGGACATCAGAATGGCTGGTTGGATGGATGGGCAGACAAATGCATGAACCCAGAGATTTAAAAAGAGGAGAATGACGAACTTCTTCCAGGACAAAGTGGTGACGAGCAGCGCGGTGAGGTGTCACTGATAAAACGTCACCCGAGATAACCGCACAGACGAGGGAGCCCTCCTGCTCGTGCTTCCACTCATCTCATCATTTCCAGATCTTCCCTTTCCTTTTATTATTTTTTACATCAGTACTCTTCTACTGCTTTTCATCTGTGCTGTGCAAATTTTTAAACTGTGTTATTTACTATAAGAGTTCAACAAAAGATAATTTAGGCAAATAACTTTACCAAGACGTTTGACATTTGATTATTATCTGGACACTTTACTGGCACAGAAAACCTAATGTTTATGTTTTTAGACAAAGAAATGATTACAAAAGTATTTATTTTATCACGGGGGGTTCTGTTCTCAGTCCCCCCACAATAAGTGAAAAACCCCGAAGTAGGAATAGTAGCAAAAGTAGTAAGTAGTAGTTTATTTTAGCATAAATTAGTATGCCTGCGACTTATACAGTGAAGCGACTTATTTATGTTTTCTCCCCATATTTATAACCAAATTTTTGACTGAGATCTGACGAATTCATTCATTCTAACATGGAAAATATTGAACAAAAAAGTCCATGCTCAATAATCCAGGTATACAATCCAACAATTTTCAGTCAGGTCATCTGGACAATTTCTTTTATGGCTGAAACATCCTAACGACCTGACTGAAAATTGTTGGATTGTATACCTGGATTATTGAGCATGGACTTTTTTGGTTTTGAACCAGTTTGACATGACTGTCGATGAGGAAGCGGGCCGGCAACAGAGGAGGGGGCGTGCCAAAGACACCATCTTAGCACCAACATAACTGGTTTGTTCCACTTTGGAGTAAGCTGTT